CTAATAAACCTTGCTGGATTGATTCTGCATGGTCTCCTGGAGTTCCTTGGGCTAGGCCCGACACTTACGACCACAATTGGGACCGGAACGTCCATCGCTAAGTGATGCGGTTGTTAAGTGAAACATGCCTGATTTTACTTTTTTTTTTTTTGCTGTGGTTGTTAAGTGAGTCACTACAGTTGTTATGCAAATCGCACGGTTGTTAAGCAAATACAACTTCCCCCATTGGCTTTGCTTGTTGTAAGCCCCTTGGAAAGGTTGCAAATGGCAATCATGTGACCCTGGGAAACTGCAACCATTGTAAGCGTGAGGACTGGTCATAAGTCACTTTGTCAGCGCTGTTGTAACTTCAAACAGTTGTTAAATGAATGGTCGTAAGTCGAAGACTACCTGTAGTTGTAGTTGGGAGATAGGAAATGGAATGGGACTGAAAGGAAATGCTAAACTGACAAAAGAGTCAGTGAGAATGTCCTATTTATTTGTTTGTTTATTTATTTATTTAACTCCAGTGGACTCTTAAACAAAATGGTAGTTAAGGTACTCAAGAGATTTGTGTATTGATTAACCGGTACATAATTATCCTTTGAATACCCTACTTCTTTGGATGTTGCATTGCAATTCTCAGTTCAAAATGTGTACAATAATACACAGATAAGAGAAGGTTGTATTTGAAGATTGAAGACATATTAAAGCAAGTTACTACAGAAATAAATATGAATAATCATGCAGTTTTACTTCTCTAAAAATTTTGGAATGATACATAAATTTAGCAAAACCCACTTATGCCTACCTAGATGTAAAACTAGAATGTATCATATATTCCCACCTATATGTGAATCAGAATGACCAGGATATGAGTAATTTGTGGCAAGACACACATTCAATCTCTGCATCTTCTTTTTCACCAGGGAAAATCCTGTTCCGAAGAAGTCACATTCGAGATGTAGCTGTGAAGAGATTAAAGCCAATTGATGAATACTGCAGGGTAAGTAACACTTCCTCTTAGAACACAGTGAAAAATGCATCGCATTTATTTATTTATACACATTTTAAATTATTGCTTATTCTCTAAAGCTGAGGGTGGTTTATTGTCAAAACATACAAAACCAAATGAAGCAATAGAAAATGAAAGAATATCCCATCCAACTAAGACAGCCCTTACACCAACATCATTCAGATGCCCTGTGGAAAAATAAGGTCTTCAGTGTCTTCCCAAGAGCTTGGGAGCATTCTGTGACTTAACAGGCAAGGTATCCCATAGTGACATAAATAAAGTTACTGAGATTAATTTAACAATCTAAAGCCAATGAAACAAATAATAGATTCAGATCAAGCACTATTTTGTCTAAAATACCACATATTGGTTTATGAGAGACATTTCTCTGAGGTCCTTAAAGTTTCAGATCTCATCAAAGCCAGAGGACCTCACAGAAATCAGAGTCAACCACCTGTGCTTCCAACAAAGGTCTCAGATATTTATACCAGGCCTCCTATTCATGCTTGTCTGAAGAACTTTCTATCTGGCAAATATCTTCCCTAAGTGATTAGCCAAATATATTTAATAGGGACTCAAGTTATGAGAATAGATCTGTTTTATTTCACTGGTATATTTATGCAGCCTCTTTCTCAAAATATCATCCATGTCAACATTTAATGAAAAAAGCAACCTGGAATGAACTCTAAACTGCTGAAAAATAGGAGAAACTATTAAGTATTTTGCATTTCAGAATGTATCTGTTAAATCTGAGAGGACTTGTAAAAGTGACCATAGATAACATAGATATTTATCATAAGAGAAATCAAACCTTTTTGGATTTGTGATGTATTACTTGTCATGTGGATCTTGTGCCTTGTCCAGAAGCTATTCTTGGCTTCTAGTTACTCATCTGAGAATGCCAACTTTCTGAGACTGAGTGATTGGTGAGTTGGTGATCCTACTTATGTGGCAAGTTGAAGAAGAAGCATTTATAGATACACTTGGCAATAGAGCTTTATAGGTTAAAGTTCGAAGAGGAAACCTATGATCTGGGAACATTAGTTTAATATGCATTTGGTATTCTTGGAAAATGTAAATTTACTACATTAAATATAAGTTGTGACATTAGAAACAATTAGAAAGGCTTGCTGACTTTTTCCCTTTTACAATCTCTTTATTCACCCATTTCAGTTGCATATTAGTAGTAACTATGTACCACAGCTGGGCTGTTACTGATTAACAAGGGTCCTAACAGTTTCTAAACTCAGTTCAGTATGTTTTGTGCAGTTGGATTTCAGTGTAATCAAAACATACTGATGAAACTTTGCAATGGATTTTTAAGAATTTGAGATACAAAGAAAAGAAATACCCATTCTAAACAATTTGGCTGGAAAAAATGTATTTAAAATCTTATCTTATGCTATCAATATTTATGTGCAACAATTGATTCAGTGTCTGGAAAATGAAGGCCCGCAGGCTATAACTATATAAACTCATGCTAAAATCTGTATATTAATTGTTTAGCTAGTAAGTGCAAAATTTGTGCTTCAGAACAGATATATTTCTTAGAAGGCAGGAAAGCACTGCAAGGTTATAAGGATCACTCCTGACCCATCCCTCTTATATATTTTCGGAGTCTTGTCTGAGAAATCATGTTTAATAAACTATTGTACTGATGATGGTAGTTATGATAGCAATCTGATAATTTTATTTCCACCTAGTTTATGTCCTCTGTTAATCAAATTGTCATATGAAAAGTACTACATTGCTTTCCTGTAAGACAAGCACAGATTGTCAATACTTGTCTTCTATTTCTGCCAAGTGCTGTATATTGTATCAACTTATTAGGCAATAAGATTTCTTCTCATTAGTTGCACATGTGTGACATTGATTTGGGAGCAGAGCATAAGGCCTGTGTGGAAAGTGCCCTAAATGAGAAAGAGTGATTAGACCAGTTAACTTCACAGCATAATCTAACATGCAAACCACTATGTTTTCTTTTTCGAATGGACCCTTTTATATATCATGTATATTTGACAAATATATGAGGGAAATTCATCTTCTGGAATGAATGGACTATGAATTATGAATGCAACTGACTTCCCTACAAACTTAGAGCAACTCCCACAACTATATCAGACAACCAGTAGTTAACAGCACATCATTTGTCTTTTGAACATTTAATTCCCTTCATTTCCACACAGATTCCTTCCTACTTTTTCCTTTCTAGAGCAGAATAAAAAGCAATCCTTGGCGTTGGCAGTACCTAGCCAACCTTGGCTGATCTTGGAAAATAATGAGGGTCAGCCCTGGTTAGTACTTGAAAGGGGGAATGCTTGGGAATTCCAAGGATGTTGGCTAGATTGGAAAGTTAAAAAAAAATGTCCTGGAAGAAAGCAGAATCTTTTAAGGCAATCAAAATTTCCCTCTGCACCTTTTAAGCCAAAACAGAATCAAGGTGGGGTTATCTTGAATTTATTTCTTCCTTCTCAGGAGTACGTTGACATTTACTTAACAGGTTTTGCAGTCTTCCTTCAAGGCTCTCTCCATATTCCTCTGTAGCTTCATACAGAAGGCAGTATCTAGCTCAGCTCAACTGTGGCAATTTGCAGTCTGAGCCACAACTGATCTACAACCTAATTTTATATTTCCATCAGTCTGTTTAATTGTATTACTGGTAGACTAATGGAAATTTTTACTCCTCACATCTCTGTGACTTTCATGAACTTCTTAAAAAGCTTTACAGGCCACTTCCCTTCTGTCTACTCAAGTGCTAGAGGGATCATTTAGCCTTGTATAAAATGGTAAGGGGGCAGAGCTGCCCTTTTCTCTCATCCATTCCTTGTCATTTCATTAACTTTTTCATTACAAACATCTGAACGTTGTGTGTTCATTTTCAGTTCTGCTGTGCGTGAAGTAAAAAGAGCAATCTGTTTCCATCAAAGCTTTTATCTGTAGCAAAGTCCATTAATGGTTTGGGATAGTGTATTAGATTACCAGTGAATGCATTATAAGATATTTCATTTGTAGAGAAAATCTGTTGGGTATTTTATTGTCTGAGAAGGCTCTAGGAAATATTACGTTATGAATGTTTTTCTTCTTGAATTAGCTATACCTAATGGTTCAAGTACAGGTTTCATTTTG